TACAACACTGAGTATGGGATCAGTATCACCAGCCTATGTATCAGTATCAAAGTAAATTTGCAGTATCGAACGTCACTAACGGTAATATAATAAATTCAGAAAACATTTTGGTGAAATGTCTCCAACCAGAGAAATGTTGAAGTGGATTTTGAAGAAAAACACAGACAAAGTTCACTTTAAYGTTGGATTTGTTTAGTTACTCAGGGAAAAAGTACAACCATTCATTCGTCCTGTACACACCTGTCACACTTATTTTAATACTTTTAAAATATTTGTACAAAATACACTGTTCTCCCTTTATAATATCTGAAGAGGCAGTCAGCATGTTTGAGCAGTTAAACTGGGATTTATTATTTTTTTATTGCATATTGTCTTTATTGCATAATTCATCTGGTGTTTGTCGGGCTCTGGGATGGAGGAGGAGTTTTCTAGGAAACAGGTTTTACTGTGAAAACATGACAGAWTCAAGCTTCAAACACCCGAGGAGAGTTGGCAACTGGTGGGATACAAACACTCGGTAAGTTAAAGCGACGCTGCTCTCTTCGTGTTTCACCAGTTTCCTTCAAACATTTGGAGGTTAAATCGGCTTTTGGGAAAGAGATGTTTGCATAAACCTTTTTTTTTCTGACCATCTGATTAAATCAATCAAAACCTTTTTTTGTTTTTAGTCGCTGAGCAGAACCCAAATTATTTTTATTTGCTAAAATGGATGAGATCATTACGGAGTCATGGATCTGACCAGAAAACTACATGAACCACCTCAACGGACTCCGATCTGTGTTTGGTCTTAATAATGAGCATCGATACAATCGGAGGAAGAAGGGGAAAGGGTTGCACCATCCCAACTGTGAAGTACGGGGGTGGCAGCATCATGTTACGGGGGTGTTTTCCTGCAGGAGGGGCCGGCAAACATCTCGAGACATCAACCAGGAAGTTAAAAACCAATGTGTCCTTTAAATGGATTAGACAACAATGGTTCGGAGTCTTGTCCTTAGACCCAAAGAGCTGAAAAACCGGACTACAAACCTGACTTAAACCAGTTCTGTCAGGAGGATGAAGAGGAGTATAAGCTAACAGAAAACAAAAAAAAGTTAAATCAGGTTTAAAGTTTTTGTTTTTGAAGGTATGCCTCCAAATTTAATCACACCGGAAGAAATAACTTTCCACCAAAAGGAGATGTGCTCTGGGACCTGGACTCAGAAGGCTTATTCAGTCGTCCAGATCTTTTCTTTGTGGGGCAAGAAATAAACCTTTGAAAGCTTGCATCAAATTTTTCCTGACTTTTGACTCTATATTGATAAATAAGTTTATAAATCAAAGACAAGAAGCTTGAAGAATTTTGTGTGATGTGGCATGGAACAGGACAAAATCCCATCAAACTTTTGTGAGAAGCTGGAAGAAGGAAACCTAAAATATGTGGAGCTAAATTGGGGTCATAAGTTTTGTTCAAAGTAACGTTTTTGAAACGGAAAAAAAAATTGAAGCTGAAAAAATAGTTAAAACTAAAACGATGTTTGAAACTTTTCCAGTTTCTAATATATATGTTTTTCAAATTCTAATTATTTTTTTCAGTTTCAAACTTATGACCCTGATTTAGCTGTCAATCATGATTCTGCACCGCCTGTCATCTGAGGCTAGGGCTGTGTATTGGCAAGAATTTGGCGATACGATACATATCATGACAGAGGGGTCACGATAAGATATATCCCGATATATTGCGATACTGTACGCAAGGCAATATATTGCGATTTTTTTGTCCAAAAATTCTTTTAAACAAAAACCTCTTACTGAAAAAAAAGAAAAGAAAAGCTAATGTTTACTTCCAATGCTAATGCTACCCTTACTCTCTGGCGCTCAAAAGGTAGAGGATCCATGTGGCTGGCTCACTGCTGCCAACTAGTGGTCAGAGGCTGAACTACAACAAAAATGATCGGTTGGCAAGAAGGTTGACATTTTAAGCCTTAATTAAAAAATCGATACAGGGCTTTAGAATATCGATACAGTATCGGGAAATGAAATATCGCGATATTTCAGTGTATCGATATTTTCTTACACCCCTGAGGCCCCGCCCCCCACGCTAAATCAGGGTCATGAATTTGAAACTGAAAAAAATATTTGAAACTGAAAAGACAAGATGTTTGAAACTTTTCCAGTTTCAAAATTATTTTTCGGTTTAATTTTGTTTTCCCAGGTTCAAAATTTTGTTTCAGTTTCAAAAACTTTTTATTTTGACCAAAACTTATGACCTCAATTTAGCTCCGTAAAAACCTTCGACCCAAGTCCCAAACCAAACACTGATGTTTTTAAATTTGTCATTTTTCTGTCAACACTCAAGAGTTTAAGAAATAAGCATAATTTTGTGAATAATTTTGTGAAAAGTTTAGTTTGATTTAATGTCAGATGGTGAGAAAACATCTATTTTCTGTTTAAATTGAAACAAAGACAACAAACAGTGGTTGCTTTGATAAGAAGATTAAATGAATCTGAAATAAAATAAATCACTTCAGTCACTCAACACGAGCAGAAAACACTCCTCAGTTCAAGGTTTGAGTAAAAAACAAAAACAAAATCAAGTTGTTGAAGAAACAGAAATGGGAATGCCTACGACGAGGCTACATAAACCTTTCTAGAAGCCATGATTACAGCAATAATTTACACGTGTTGGTTTGGCCAAAAAAAAGGGGGGGTTGGGGGGGGGGG